GGAAGGAGGGGGGAAGGAGGGGAAGGAGGGGAAGGGAGGGAAGGAGGGGGAAGGGGGGGAAGGAGGGGAAGGGAGGGAAGGAGGGGGAAGGAGGGGAAGGAGGGGAAGGGAGGGAAGGAGGGGGGAAGGAGGGGAAGGAGGGGAAGGGAGGGAAGGAGGGGGGAAGGGAGGGAAGGAGGGGAAGGGGGGGAAGGAGGGGAAGGGAGGGAAGGAGGGGGAAGGAGGGGAAGGAGGGGAAGGGAGGGAAGGAGGGGGAAGGAGGGGAAGGAGGGGAAGGGAGGGAAGGAGGGAAGGAGGGGGGAAGGAGGGGAAGGAGGGGAAGGGAGGGAAGGAGGGGGAAGGGGGGGAAGGAGGGGAAGGGAGGGAAGGAGGGGGAAGGAGGGGAAGGAGGGGAAGGGAGGGAAGGAGGGGGGAAGGGGGGGGGAGGGGGGGGGGGAAGGTTGAGCTTCGCATTTGCACGGGAAACGGCGGAGATCCAAACCACTGGGATCCAAACTTGGAGCCTGGTGTCAAGGGTTTTATGGGATTCCTCGAGGTGCTTAGCTTCCCTTTGGGCAACCCCGTGCCATCCAAGAGCCAAGCCCAAGTTGAGACAGACCCATAGGGGGTTAATCTGCGGGTCCCCGCATGCCAGTCCTTGCCGATGGCCTGTGAGGTGTCCCCGCATCGCTGTACAACGAGAGGCAGGGGAGAAACAGCGAACCGGCGGAAGATGTGTTCAAGATGCGGTCGGTCAAACCCTTGGTTTTGGATGTAGGAGGTTTAGTAATCCACTCGGGTTTTTTGATGGTCATTTCAGCTGAACTTTGGATGGCCGAATGTCGAATGTCGCGGTTTCAAGGATGCTGTTCCTTTTTTTTCTTCAACGGCCGACTCCTTTGTTGGATCTTGGGAATGGGTCCAAGGACCTGCAGGGCTTACGACTTACGACCAAGTGGGTGAAAGTGGGCTCGATCGATAAGCTCGGAATTGACCCAGGCTTCAGTTTCAAGCCAAAGGTTTGGAGAGCTGCTCTTCCCGCCATCCCAGCGACTCTCTTGCCATATTCAACAGACTTTGAGCGCGCCAGGCACAAGGGTGCTCCAGCAACCGACGTGGTCTTCCCGCAGTGCTTGGGCATTTACGCTTGCAGTAGCGCCTTGGTTGGTTTGTTGGATGTGAGAGCCGTGAGCGGTGGCATTCCTGCCGGTCGGCACGAAAATGGTTGGGTGCACTTGTTCTTTCTGAAGCGAGAAAGTGAGACAAGGCTGCTTGGCACTAGCTCCGAGGCTTGGTGCAAGGCAGTAGATTCTTTTGCATTGGTTCGACTGAGGAAAGCTTCCTTTGACGCCACCTTTCCAGGGAATCCGCTCACAGGAAAACAGCGTGGAATTCCTTGACATAGGAACTTCTCTCATCGGCAGCTTCCGGATTCCGGTTTCATTGCAGCCCGGTGGATTGATTTTTCGGCCGCTGCCTTCCTCCGCATCGGCCCTAGGTGCGATTTACCTGGTGTCGCAGCCTCAAAGGTGGGCACACCCGAAGTAAGCCAGGCCAAAAACGAAGCCATAGCCGAGAAGGAAGGGTCGAGCGACCGAGCTTTCCCATGTCCGGGCTTGCATGTTTGAACTCAAGATTATTGCCTTTTTGAGGAGACTGGGGTTTTGAACAAACTGGGTTGAACAAATAGGAGTAGACTTAGGTACAGCGGCATCGATTTTGGCGCTGAGGTATGCAGGTGTTGCCAAGATGGCGGGCTGGCGGGTGCCGCATAGCCCCATCCGGCCAGCCTATGCCAGCGGCTGCATTTGGGCAATAGGCCGGTTTGGGTCGTCAAAGGGACACCCAAAAGTGGGCGGGTGGTCCTCGTGGTTTCCCTTGACCCCAATTCTTGGGGTCCTCTCAAGAAAACACAAGTTCACGCGGCGGCTTAGAATTCGATGCATGGGATTTCCGCCACCTCAGGAAGGCAAAAGCGGCCCAGGCCCCGTTTGGGCTGATTGCTAAAAGAGGACCACTCTGGGCGAATCTCGTGTGCTTTGGAATACTTGGGTTTGTCTCAACAGGGGTGTGTCTCAAAATAGAGGCCCACAAAATGGATATATATATATACACACATGTATATTTGATTTCCCTTCCAACCAACCTGAAAATGGTGCCCTCAAAAAAGACACCGCAACACACCACTTTGTGGGCCCCAAAGCACAAACCCTGACCAGTTTGAGGCTGGGTGTTTGTTGGCTGGAACCCCCCCATTTGGGTTAGGTCTTCAGGGACAGCAAAAGGGAACTGCCATTGGTCGGAATCCCTGCTTTTGGCTCATATTTGTGGCCGGGTCTTCGAAGCCATTGTGTGCACATGTTGGGGAAATCCTCATTCTATCTGGGACCAACCTGCGATCCCAGTTTGCGCCTTTGCAGCTTCTGTGAGTTCTGTTGGAAGCGAAGATCCAAGAAGGGGGTCCCTGTTTGGGCCCCAACCAAGCCATAAGTGGGCCACTGGGCCACTGACCAATGTTTTTTTCCCCAATCGGAGGCTTCACCTTCATGATCTGCGGCATCTCCTCGCTGGGCTTCTCCGTGGGCTATACGCCCGAGCCCAAGTTCGGGATTCTCCAGATGGGTATGTCGCTTTTAGGCTGGGCACCCCAAAGTGGTCATTTTCGTCTTTGCTTCCCTTTCAAACCACCAAACAAGGGGTACCAACAAAGACATACCCAAATGGACCCCGTTTTGGGCGTTTTTTTTCAGGGACACCAGAAGGACACAGCACATTTTTAGGTTCCCCTAACTGAGAAAGGCCCAGTCCCTCAAAACATTATTTTTGGAAGGACACCAACCGGGGATCCTGAGAACGAGTCCCAAATTTGGTGGGTCTAGTTTGGAGGGTACCCTTTTTGGCTTGGCCTTTTTGTGGCAAAACCACGCTTCATAGCTTGGCTATGCCAGTTTAGTGCTTGAACCCAAGTGCAAGCGCAAAACATCGCGATCCATGCGTCGCCGCTTCGATTCGAGCGTTTGGGGCGAAACAAATAGTTTTAGTGCCGCGGCTGCAACGCAATTTTTTGTTCCTTCAACGCCACTGCAGTTTCTCGTTTTCCGTTTTCTTTTTTCTTTCTTGGTTTTGGGTGCGTAGGTCAGTGCCATGCGAGGGTCCAGGGATCCATCGGGCTCGGTGCAGGCTGGACGCTGTGGGGCTGGGAGCCCAGTGAGCAGGGCACGTCGCTGAGTGGAAGGTGTGGGAAGGTTCGGGTGTTCTCTATTTGTAGCTTTCAGCCGTTTTTCGCTATCTTTAAGATGAACCTATGTAGAATACCGTGTTTTTTTCTTCTTTTTCTTTTCTTTTTCTGAAGTCTGAACTGATGCGGCTATGACTTTGATTTGAGGCGCCCCTCACAGGACATATCTATGGACACGATTTCCACCAAAGGGTCCTGAGCGTCAAATAGTCCATTTGCTTCAGCCCGCAAGTCAATTGGCAGACGTCTGAGTGACAGACAGACTGTCCGCGCAACTTGAGGAGTTTTGTTGCAGGGAGTCAAAAGGCCGTTCGGCGCGAGGCCCATCGTCGTTGCCAGCCTGCTGTCCATCTTCGTTTTCAAGGAATGGGAAGGGCGGAGGTTGAGGCGATCCATTTTGAGGTTCGGTCTTAAACTTTCCGTCTACTATGGTACATTTGGGAGGCCGAAGTTTGGTACCCACAACCAGAGGGCGAACTCTAAATTCCCCATGTCCTGGCGGGGGGAAGTGGTTTTTCAGGAACCTGGTTTGGACCATTTTCCTTGCGGGGACCCCAAACGTCAAGTTCCATGTGAATTGGTGGGAGGGTACCACTTTAGAGCGTTCTCAGTACCAGTCTATGTGGGTATGGGTCAAACTTAAACCACCAGGGGACCACAGGTTTTTGTCATTGTTTCCATTTACCAGGGTGCCATTTTGGGAACCACAGCCATGTGATGTGCCTTCAACTCACCCGCCGGAATCGGTGGCTTATGGATTTCGGATCTGGCGAAACATGCATATAGGATGGATTCGATGGCCTGCCAGGAGATCACGGACAAGTTTCAGCTTCTGCTCTACGGTACGGGTCACAGAAAATCTCGCTACAGCCCAATCGTCGAAAGACGAAATCACGTTTTTTTTTTTTTTTTTTTTTAGGATGGTTTCCCTACTTTAAGCCCTCCTGGGATCTGTCAGGGGTCGCGGCTAAAAAAGTCCGGCAAGCGATCAGTTGCGCCAACGGGCAAACATTGCGCATGCGAAAGGAACCAATTTTTGTTGGAACCCATTTGACAGGCCACTCAATGTCAACTGGCTGCTTGGGAGCCACCAGAACACGGGGATCCACCTGCCTGGCCCTCATTTGCACACGGCTGGCGAGGCATTGCTTTTACCCTGCAGCTCGTGGGTGTGGTCATGATGTCTGCCGGCGGGGAGCATTGAGGCGCGGTGAGTCTTTGAGTCGCAGAGGACCCTACCAGGGCGCTGCCAGTCAGAGGACCCCAACAAAAATGGGATATCATTCCCGTACTAGGGGAATCTGAGGTTAACATTGGTGAGGTTGCGGCGCCTCTTGGACAAATGGGCAAACTGCCGAAAACAAGAAGGGCAGCCTCCAGGGGGCGGCAGCATTGGTCTTGAACGTCTCACGGGAAAACAGGAAGCGGTTTGGGGGCCTTTCCGATTTTCCCCAAGCATTTTGCTCTGCTCTGGAGCTACCCATGGGTCAGACTGTGATGAGCGTTATGTGTTCCCCGACCAACTGCTTCATTCAGCTGTCAGAACTGGGCAACGCCGTCAGGCACCCTGCCCTTGAGGTCAGTTTGTGCGAAGTGAGGCAAACTGCTGTACATGGTCGTCTTCCATTGAGGGTCCAATCATGTGGGGGCAAAGGATACTTAGATGGTCTGGGACTTAGTTAAATGGTTAGTAACCCTAGTTACAGGGGACTTACAACCATTGTAAGTGGGTTACAACCAGGGTTACTAGTCCTTTAGCTAACTGCCAGACCCTCCAAGTAGACATAAGCTCAGGCGTCAAAGCTGATGGACTGGTCGAAGTTTGCCGAGGCCATTGAAGATGTGGCTGTGGTTGTCAAAACCGTTTTGGGATCCCATTTTGGTTGGTAGGTGAATTCACCACCCATTTTAGAACCTATTTTGGTGGGGATTGGGATGTTCAGTGGGGGTGCGATTTGGATTTTGACCCATGGCCATGTGTCGCTGGAGTCCTGAGCCAGGCTTTGCTTCTGACTCGAAGTGTGCTGCATTTCTTCTTTGCTTTGGTCCAGTGTTGGCCCGATGCCGCCATGCGCATCACCCTCTTGAAGAGGGGGGCCTGCCGCACGTGATTTGGAACACTTCCTCTCGTGCGTTGTAAACGAACTCAGCCGTCATCTTGAAGATGACTTGGCTATGGGCAGAAGCCTGTCGACATATTAGGCGGTTGCGAGCCCAACTGTGTGAGACACGGTAAAATAGCAGCAAGGTATGGCTGTGTGTGAGTGTGTGCGCTTCCTGATCGCACGTGTTCTCCCCTGACCCATTGGTCACCGGTCGTACTGCGGATGGACGAAATCCTGCACCACCTAAGAAACCCTAGAAGGATATGATCCCCTGTAAATACCAACAAACAATGGTTTCCCATGGTGTCTTGGGTGGTGCGAAATGATTTGGTCCATTCATAGTATGAAAGAAGCTTGAGCCTCCAGGATTTGGTTCAATTCCATGGCTGTATCAGGCTCGAGCCTTGATTCCACACCGCCAGCGACAAGATGCCAGCTGATGTTCTCGCCAGAAGTTGTTTTGGGGAAAACGTAGCACTGCCTAAAAGACGAGGCGCGGACTCGAATCGATCCATGAATCATCGCGGCGACGGGCCCATGGCCGCGAAGGTTCGCCGCGTTCTGGAGCTGGCCTGAGAGGGAGTGAGAGTGGTTTTTTGGGAGGCGAAAGGTACGCTCGTTGGGTGGTGTACAGGAAGACGAAGAAGGAGAAAGGGACGCCGCGATTTTTTTTTTGGGTGGGACTTTTAAATATTGACTTGGGAGCATGATAGAGCATGGCTGAGAGAGCTGGGTGCGAGTAGTTGCAGAATGATATTTCCAGATAAAAACTCAAGAAGCTGATGACTCGCGGGCTCCCTGCATCTCAAACTAGGCGAGTCCCCGCGTCATGGGTCATTTTTTTCTTCAAACTCACCTCAAAAGGCTACCCTCAAAGATCCACGTGGCCATGTGGGCATGTGGGATTGCCAAAATAATGAATTTCACCTCCCTTTAAACCAAGCGAAAGGTACCAGCTCCAAACATTCAGAGACTATGCCCAAAACTCCGAATCTGCGAGTGGTCACGGCCTCCTCAATAGAAACCCTCACGTTAGTTGTATACATCCCCAACCAAGAAACAGACCCGTATGGGTAACCTGAACTAGGGGAATTTTGTGGACCTCAAACAGTTCGGAGGGGGTTCATGGCCAGCCACATTTGAGGTGGCTCCAACTCCTTGCATTTTCACAGCTGACTCGGATCCGAGGGGCTGGCGCTGCTGCTGGGGCTATGGCAGGCCCGGATTGAGAGAGCGGCGCCGCGCGTGCCCTTCTTGGCCAGTGAAAGGTGAGTGTCCCTCGGTGGGGGTGATGTTTCAAGGGGAAATATGGGGAGCACAAAGTGGGCCGGGTCTGGATGTGGTCCCCCTTTTTCCAGGCTGTCCCCTTCAAATTATGGGCGCTCCCTTGAACCTTGGCCCAAATTCGGGGATCAAAACCCGAGCGGCGACACTACAAGAGCGCGGTTTCCTGCGGGTGTCCCTTTAGGGACCAACCAAGAGAGGGTCCACCATTTTGAGAAATCCTCATATGAGCAACAATCAAAGCCGGCTATGTGAAGCTTAGGTAGAGGACAGTCCCAACCGTAAGTCGGTGCGGATATCCTCCCTTTTGATAGCCCAGTTTAGTTTCAGGTTCTAATTGTGACTCCTGTGAGGCTGTGTGAGCGTGTCTTTCTTTAGGAGATTCCTCAAAAAGGTGGTTATCCTTTTAGTTCCCCCTTCAAAACTCATCAGACAAGGGGTATCAATTCCAAAAAAGATGAGTCGCCCATTTGAGACGGTTGATATTTTACTGTCATTCACTCTCAAGGTTGAAAGGCATTGATTGGCAACACTAGAACATGGAGGTCACCAAAAAACCAATGTCAGTTCGGGATTTCGGCTTGAAAGCGCTTAATGGTTGCTTTCCTTTTGGTTTCCCTTCAAAAACCACCTCAGAAGGAGACATGTGAAGAGCTTGAAATTTCCAGGCCTCTGGTCCTTCTGGGGATCCGTCTGTTCAGCACATGGAACTCGGAGCATCCAGGGGAAGGTGTGCGAACCCTGATATTTTCGCATGGTCGCCCAATTTGCTAGATTGGCCAGATCGAGATCGTTGAATAGTACTTGACGGCGTAAGCCTGGAACCATCTTACTTTGTTTTTGCGTTGGTCCTTTTTTTGGGTTGTTTCCAAGGAAGCGGGAACCACACAGACATCCCCTTGGGGGTGGGCGGGGGTCGTTTTGAGCCAAGCGGGATGCACGCGGCCCAGCCGGCAGGCCTGCGGCCCCGGCTTCGCCGCGCCGGCGCCTTCGGCGCTGGCGCGGGCGCCCTCGACCTTGCTGGCCGGGGCGAGGGTACCGGGCCAGGGGCTCAGGTGGCCTGGTGCCATGGAAACTGACAGAAGGCGCTAGGCGACAGAGTTTTGGGTTGATCTCATGGAGTCTGTCTGGCCTGGGGAGGGAAGCGTACCCTCACTTCAGAAGGTTCTTATTTTGAGAAGGCTGACGCCCCTTGTACATGCCCCTCGGGTAAATGCGCGTGACTCAAAACCAAGGAGGGGGCCGCAGCTTTGAGGTTAATTAGGGATGTGCGTAAGTGGTCTGGGGGACGTTCCAGATTAACAAGGGCGGCGTCAAAACTAGGTGCTCCTGGGGGGCGCCTATCGCACAGGAAAATACAGCCCACAGACAAGGGTTCGGTTTCTGTTTTGGTATAACCCATGGCGAAAAATAGTGCAATATATCATTTTTTTGGGGGCTCATTGCATTTTTGTGTTCTGTGTCTCGTGCAACCCAGGACAACAAAATGATATATCACATTGCATTTTTTGTTGATTGGATGTGTTTTCTCTTCTGTTTTGGTATAATGCATTAGCAAATAAACACACATCACACGTTTTGCCGGTTCATTGCACGTTTTAATTTTTCTGTGTCGGTGTAACCTCAGGTTAATAGCCCTCTCAAGAAGCAGGATGGTAACCAAGGAATCAAGGGCTGTGAACAAAGGGTATATATACTTCTCTTAGATGGAGGGCTAGAGATCACTTTCGATTCCGACGGAATTCCGCATGAAGTCGGCGGCCAATACACAGCGTCTTAAGGTGAACCTACCCCGTCTAGACAGGAAATAGGACAATCAAGATTGGCCTTCTGATGCAATGCTTGGTACCAACAAGCGGCACGCATTCAAGCGAAGGGGGTTGTGCCATGCGCCAAAGCCTCTATCTTTCTGCGTGAAGCTGCCATTTTAGATGTCCCATGGTTCTTCTCCGATGTTTTTCAGGGACGAACCAGAACTCTGGACAGTCGGAGGGGACAAGGCGGGCCAACCTTGTGAGGTCGAGATGAAGGCAGGCCGCGTCTTTCGGGTTGCCCGGCTTCGGCCGGAAGCCGGGAGCCGGCGTTGCATCTGAGTCAGGGTGGGGCAACGTTTGTGCAAAGAGCCACATCCTGTTTTTTGTGGGGAAGCCAAAAGGAGAATTGTTTAAGCCATGGCGGCTTTAGCGTGTTGAAACAAGGAGTTGGCCCCGTGAAGCCATGCACCAAAGGATTGGCGCGCTGCAAGACAGACGCACGTGTTTCACGCATGGCGGCGAGCTGACTGCTGCTTTTGCGGGCCAGTGGGCGCCGGACTTTTGGCAAGCCGCAGCTTGCCACATGACTTAATTCAGTCCATCAGGGCAATGCTTAAGACTTTCATTCTTGTTTCGCAAACCCAGAGGGAAGCTGTTATCTCAACCACCACCGCCCAACTTGCCGTCACCAGTGGTTTGCGTTTTCGAGTCGCTGGATTCGTTCGGAGCGCGCCATGCCATGGAGCGCTCCGATGTGCTCGTCAGCGGCTGGTTGGAGCGGCTTGGAGTCGATTTTCGGGCCCCGGGATTGGCACGGCCCAGGGGCCGTGGGGTCTCCTCCAGAACGGCTTCTGTCTGTGTGGGCGCGCCCGTCCCTTTTTTTGAGCTTTCTGCTTTTTGGGGGGAGAGGGGGGGGGTAGAGGGACACCAAAAGGAACACTCCCCCATGTTTTTGAAGGAGTTTTTTTTGTTGGGGGGGGGTCTCCATTTTATGCATTTTGGGGTAGGTTAATATGACACAGAACCTGAACATGTCATTTGTGTGCCCCAGATGTGGGCCTAGCTCATCTCCCGCAAGGTCAGGGCTTATCCATTGGACGCCTACCGAAAAAGAAACCAGACCGCACTCATTTAGCACGTCCAGCTTCTCAGGAGGGCCAGGACCCCAGATTTTGGGGCCCAGCATGGTTCCCCGAAGTGGTTGCGGAAGGATTGATTCACCCGGGCTTTCCTTTTTCAAACCAAGGTTGACCGAACCTTCCAAGAAACGGTTCTGTGGAAACCAACTGGATTCAGCTTTTGACTGAGACTCCCAGGAATCGGTTCTTGCCCCGAAGAAAAACGGGGGAAGGTTGGCCTACCTTGGGGGCAACCCCTAAAAAACGGAAGAGCTTCCTTGTGGGGCAGCCCCTAAAAAATGGCAGCCCCTAAAAAATGGCAGCCCAAAACAACCGGACATTCCCCGCCTGGCCAATTCCTCGCGGCAATTTGTTTGTGAGGAAGCGGCTGCCGGTGCTCCGAGACACCTGGGAGTCCCACTGGTGCGTGCTGCAGCCCACCAGTCTGATGCGCCTTCGGACGAAAAATCGGGGGCACCAGGTCGCCCAAAGGCGGCGGTTTCGTGGGAAGCGTAAGGAATCCTGGGAAACCCGAAGGAAGCCTAAGGAACCCTAAGGAAGCCTACAAAACCCTGAGGAAGCCTGGGGCACCTACAGGTTTGATCAGCTTTGAAAGGGGAATCCCGGTGACCCCGTCTCTTTCAGCGGGCGCGAAGTGAAGCCCCGAAGCACCGTGCCGAATCAAGGCACACTGGTTGAAACGAAATCCGCGGCGCAGACGCAACTCCCCAAACTCCAGCTTGCACGATGGTTTGTCATAAACAGCTTGCGTTTCCCCCAATGCTGGTTCTCCACCGACAAAATGTGTCCGTATGCGCTATAGGCCACATCAGCTGTCAGCTGTTCTCTCCATGATTGGAGATTCGAACGCTTCCTTCCTCCAAGCTGCACGCATCACGCCCCCTTTTGTGGATTCGCTTTCCCGTTCAACGAGCAACTACTCAAACTCCCTAGAAACTCAGTGGTTTCCTTTTTCTTACTGATAAAATGCTTGTGTCCCTTGAACCCACTGAACGGGGAGGTGACTTTGCTTGTTAACCTCCCTCAGACGAACATGGAAGCTGCCAGAAGGCCTCTGCAAATGGAGCCAAGTCTTTTTATTTCGGGTCCTGGGAGCTTCCATGGAATTGTCTGGGGGAGCGCAAATTAACCAAAAGTCTCCCTTTCTACAAAATGCTGGTGTCCCTTCAGCCCCGTTTCAATGGGGGGCGCCTTTGCTTCACCAACCGACGGGCCGCTTCGCCGCTTCGCCGCCGCTGCGGCGAATCGGCGGATCGCGAGGTGCTTCCACGACGAGGCGGCGGAGTGGCCCAAGGCCACCTTGCAGCTGCGCCACGCGCGGCTGGCGGCCTTCAGGCGCGCTGGGGGTTGGGGGCTCTGGGGGGTGGGGGGTAGGGGGGGGGGGAGTGGGTGGGGGGTGGGGGCCCTGGGGAGGTGGTGGTTGGGGGTTCTGTGTTGTCCGGGGTTCAGGTTGTTATTCAATGGTTTTATCCGCCCTGTCAGGTTTGGGGTTGCTAGACTTTAGCTGACATCCGACCTGCGTACCCAGGCCCGAACGCCGACAGAGCCTGCGAGCTTCGCAGAGTGGGATGTTGAGCAAGCGTGCTATGTCTTCGTCGGCGATCTTTCGAAGCGAAGTAGTTTGCTAATTTTTTTCGGGCTGGAAAAAGCTTGACCCGAGAATGGTTGGTTGACCTAAGTCCTGAGTATGATGTTTGAAAGGAAGCTCACAGGGTTCGGAAGACCAGTTTCCCAACGGCTCGAAGCCATGATGTGTCACAGATTGCGTCTTTCTTGCTTCTTGGGGTTGGCTTGAGAGAGCCTAAGGACAAGCACCCATTTTCGGGGTTCCGCCTTTTTCAGACACGCCCATAGAGGTCTTGCCAACTTCTCATGGGGGGGGCGATTTGTGGAGGCCGGGGAACACACCATTTTGAGAACCCCCGCTCCAAAATGGATGACATCATAGGAAGCAGGTGTAGGAAAAAAAAAAGAAACGCTGCCCAGTTTCGAGGGCCTCGGCTTTCACTTCCGAAAACCCACCCTGCGATTTTTTTCCGGTTCCCAAAAAGAACTTCCGAACAAACCCACCTGCCGGGTTTTTCCCGACCCAAGAAACCCGCCCTCCGGGCTTTCTTCCGGTGTCCCGTTCCAGACCCAAAATCCGACCCCAAGAAACGACGCGACGCAGCAAACGCGCGCCAGGGACGAGTCCTCCTTCGGCGACGCCCTGGTGCACCGCAGCTCCCGGCCCTGGGGCTTCGTGCGCCTCGGGCGAAGCGGATGGTGCGAGGGGTGCCACGGGTGGATGGTGGCTGGGTTGGGTGAAAGCCGCCCAGGTCGGTCTAAAAAACGAAAAACAAAAAACACGGAGAAAAACAAACAAACCAAAAAAACAAAAACAACCACGCATTTTTGGGGTCCAGGGCGAATAAATCAAAGAGTTTTCTTTTGGTGGTTGGGACTCTTTTTTCTTTTTGGTTTTTCTGCATTGGCCTGCGGCCAATGCGCTTTGAGGGAAGCTAAACACCTAGCGTCAAACGAACGCACGCGTGGATCTGGAGGATGAGCGTCCAGATCCGGGTCCGGTCAATGCTTACACGGTTTGGCTTGCGGGGAACTGGAGAGGGACGCCAAGAGGAAACCACCCATTCTGGGGTGTCCCAAGTTTGACACCATATGCAAATAGTTGCCAGTAGTGTGCTGCTTGTGCTTGCTAAGATGTTTGGGAGCAGATTTTTCCGTTGGCTTTCATCTTGGCGACAATGGAAAAAGCCTCCCCCACAGCTTTGCATGGCAGTTTGCGATCTGCTTAAAGCGCATCAACACAGATAGGGGTCAGTGAAGGTGAGAAAAGTCCAACCACAAAGATAGGTGCAGTCACCATCCGGGTGTGGGTCAAAAATAGGTAGCCCCAAAATGGGTTGCCCTGGTAAAACGAACCAAGGACTAAAATCTGCGGAGAACTGCCTGGTGAATTTCGACCCAAACCCATAAGAATAGGTACCCAAAATGGGTTGCCCTTGTAAATGGACACAAGGACTAAAATCAGCGGTTCTCTGGTGGGGAATTTTGACCCATCCTGGTGGTGTTTCCATGGTTCCAGGGCTCGACCCTTCGAAGGATTTGAGATCAGTGCTGCAGGCTGGACCTTGGAGTAGATGTGCCGCAGCCGCACCAACGCTTCGTGCCTCGGAGAGATGTGGAGATCAATTCCCGTAGGGATTTGGTGAAGGGTGCGCTTTGGACTCTGGTGAAGATGTTCTCCCCCCAAGAGTTATTTTTTGGGGACGCGCGAGCTGTGCGCATCGAGTTCTTGTTGTTGTAGAACAACACCCACTTAGTTTTGAAAGAGTCTTGTGTTTTTTCGCCCCGTGCGTCAAGGTGCACTTCGACGCATGCGAGGATGTCGCGCTGGAGAAGTGGCTGAATGCCTTCCGCGCTGCAGAGGCGAAACGGGACTCGCGGAAGCAATGCAGAGGACCCATACGGTGCGACGTTTTTGTTTTGGGGTAGCCCCTGTCTGGTGTTTAAAGGGACACCCAAAGGAAAACCCAAAATCCATTTCGGAGGTCCAAACCTCGAAGACGAGCCATTCATACCCATCTCTTTTGGGCAGGTCTGGAATTTGTCAGGCCTGGCCAAGCGAAAAATAGGAGTACATTGATCTAAGAGGGTGCTTGCTTCGTTGGGGGCGTCTTGAGGGATTGACAGTTTTGACAAGGGGAGAGCATCTATGGCTGACAGTCATTTCGGATATACTCTTCCAGTGGCTCTGGAACCCACATGTGGATGGGGGGGAATCCTGTGGTTTTTGACAGAAACCCAACAGGAAACTCACCAGTTTAGATGTGCCGATTCCTTTGAGACAAGATGAACTTATTCCGGGTTAGCACAGCGGCCTGGCCGCTGCTCCTGTTGAGTGCCGTTCTGATACCATGCTGGTTGAATCAGCAATGTCACCCGTGGTGAAGGCGCTGGAACTTCCTTGCTATTTTGTGAGGCATGATGATGATCCCTGAGGTAAAAGGCGATGCCACAGTCACGATTTTGGCCGGCTTGGTGGCCGGACGTCTTCAGGATGCTTGCAGCCTCACGTAGGTCTTCTCTTGCCAACAAGAGCTTCAGGATTCCTGATGATAATTGAGAATTAGCGGGCAATTTACTGGTGCAGGCGCTGGAAGGTCCGGCTTGAGCCCATTTCGCGGACCTCGGCTTGTTCGAGTTGATTGGACAGGGTCCATTAAAACGGCATCCTCTAAATGGTGGTTTCAAGGGAAAACCCACCTTCCCTCGATTACTGAGTGAGTTCACGCGTCTGATTCCGGAGCCACCCTCCAGAGGAATTTTGAGGCAGCGACCGCTCAGCGGGACTCAGCACTTCACTGCGCAGGCAGAGGGAAAGGTGAAAGATGAGCCTGAGGAGGGGGAGGTTGAGCAGGCTGGGAAGAACTGCTATGCCACATGGCTGTGTTCGTTTTTGTTTTTGTTTTTTCCCACCCGACAGGAAGGGGTTGTTAGATTTTATGTTGGAATCCGCGTTTGCGATGCTTCTACACCACACCCAGTATCTCGCCAGAGCAGCTCGCCAGTGGATCCCGCCCAGTATCCCGCCACAGCGGCTTGTCAGTGGATCCCGCCATATCCCGCCAGAGCGGCTGGCCAGTGGATCCCGCCGAGTATCCCGCCAGAGCGGCTCGCCAGTGGATCCGCCTTGTATCCCGCCAGAGCAGCCCAGTGTATCCCGCCACGCCAGAGCGGCTCGCCAGTGCAGAGCGGCACGCCATTGAATCCCGCCGCGTATCCCGCCAGAGCAGCTTGCCAGTGGATCCCGCCGAGTATCCCGCCAGAGCTGCTCGCCAGTGGATCCCGCCCAGTGTCCCGCCAGAGCTGCTCGCCAGTGGATCCTGCCCAGCATCCCGCCAGAGCTGCTCGCCAGTGGATCCCGCCGAGTATCCTGCTGAGTATGCCAGACTAGCTCGCCAGTGGATCCCGCCGTGGATCCCGCCGAGTATCCCGCCAGAGTAGCTCACTAGCCTGGTTTTGCTTAATGTCCAAAAGGGCCGATGGGATTTCGGAGTCGAAGTCTCTAGGATGTGAAGGAATTTGGTCATAAGCTCGTGAGTGTGGAGGGTGGGGATTGCTCGAAGCGAAGTATTATTTGGTTTTATGAGTCTTTTTTTGGTTGCTTTCAAGGGACACGACCCTAAAACAATTGTTTTGTAGTCTCGGCGTTTGGGCGACTTGTTGGGGCCGCCCTCGCGGAGCGTATTTGCGGATCTTCCGTTTTGCGCGTGTTTCCGTCGCCAGATGTCGGACGCAACGCCGTCGCCAAAGAGCACGGTGCATGCCCGCAGCAAGCGGACGTTCCTTTACCGCGTCCTGGCTGCAGGGAGGCAAGCCGGAAGCGAATTCCTTTTTTGTGTATGGGTCAAAATTTGTCGCCACCAGGGGGTTATCCGGTTGAAGGGTCCATGTTTTGCCACTTGGGTTGGATTGGGATGTTCACTGGGGCTAACCGGGATTTTGAGCCATGGCCAAGTGAGCGACGGCTCAGAGATGCAGAGCCCAGGCAAGCACAGCTACAACAAGCCTCGCCCCAAGGGCCGCGTGCTCCGGAGCCAGGCGGGGTTAAGAGAGCTCCCATTTGGGTGGCTCGTCGTTGGTTGAGTTGGTACCCATGTTTTTGGGGATAAAGGAAAACCAACAAGTCCCCGAAAAGGCGCAGACTCGTTCGAAGGCTCCCATGGCGCATATGTTTTGATAAATGCATAGATCTGGCCAAGTGACGAGCTCGCCGATCTGGGTTGGTAAAACGAGCGCGGGCTCTATGACGCCTTCTTTCTATCGGTAAACTTGGGCTGATCATCACCGGCGCAAACCCCAAAAATGAGGCCAATGGGATGATCCAACGGAGCAAGCCTTGGTGGAAAAGCCAGCTTGCACTGATTGCTGGCATCGACAATTCTGGAGGAACATGGGCATGTCTGTTTTTGAGGGTACCCTTTTCAGTCTGGCGCAAAGGCAAACCCAAATGCACATCTTCCCCCGATTTTCGGGTGTGTCAACCCCCATTGTGACACACGCCCACACATCTTTTTGGTTTTGTTTGTTCCCGCAAGAGCATGCCAAGTAGCGGCGCCAGAGAAGTGGTCTCTGTGACCAGTGATCAGGTCACCTCCACAGAGGATTGGCCCTCTGCTCAGACCCGATCGATCGATCGATTCGACGGGGGTTCAAAGAGCCACAAGTTGAGACAGGGTTGTTGCACAAGAGTAGAACCGATTGATATATAGTCAGATACCCATGACTGTTGAATATGGGTGTGTCCTTTTTTGATGGTGCCCTTTTCAAAGAGGAACGAAAGGACAACCACCAATTTGCGGTGACCCTACTTTGGGACAAACCCATGTGAAGGGTTCCATCTCCCATTTGGAGAGAAACCCATAGATTGGCCCCTCATGACGATCTATTTTGAGACAAACCTTGTTTCCTGGGTGGCTCGTCTTTTTCACGATTGGACCTCCAACATGGTTTTTGGTTTTCCTTTTGGTTTTCCTTTGGCCACCAACAAAGGTGGGTCCAACTCAAAAAAAGACGAGGCACCCCCACCAAAGGGGGGGTGCCAATTCAAAAAGAGACGAGGCACCTACGCGTCCTTTTCAGGTCAGTTTGGTTTGAAGTACATGTGCCATCATTTTCCAGGGAAACCCATCCATTTTCTCAAAAGGACACCAAAGGGGACTATGGACCCACCTATGGGCTCACGAGAATATCCATATGGACTCACGAGAATATCCAGGAGACCACCTCAATGGCGGGCTTAAACGGGCAGGTCTTTCTTGGAGGGTTCTCTTGTTGTAAAGGGGAGCCAAGAGAGAATTCCTTTTGGTTTCCCGCGGGCGGCACATGGGCGGCTCGTCATTTTTCCGGTCGCGACCGCCGTGCGGCGGAGCGAGGCTGGATGTGGCGCCCCGCAGGCCAGAAGCCTGGCAGCGGGCCTTCCGGCGCCCTGAATTTGAAGCGGGAAGCGAAGGGAGGATGCGCGCGTCTTCTCCTTCGGCCCGGGCGTGTTTTTTTTTTTTTTTTTTTTTTTTTTTTTTTTTTTTTTTTTTTTTTTTTTTTTTTTTTAAGTTACCCTTCTTGGGTACTCATCGTTTGTTTTGTACCTTTCTTGGTACTCATCTTTTTTTGGGTTTGGGTCCCTGGAGTCTTCATGACCCTTTAAAAAGGGGGTCATGACGACTTCATTTTGGGTAATGACCCCATTTTTAAAGGGTCATGGAGACTCCAGGTCCTCATCTTTTTTTGGGGTGGTTTTGAAGGGGAACAAAAGGAACACAACTCATCAAGGTCCCCGTTTTGCGAGACCAACCCGCTCAGTTTTTTCAAGTAAGGCTCAGTGAGTGGCTTGGATTGGTGGTTTGGGGTTCAAATCCCCTAGCTCTTTTTTGGTTTTTGTCATTTTGTTTTTCTTGGTTTTTGTGTCCGTTCTTTCTTTTTTTTCTCCCCGTTCTGCCCTGTTGATTCAAGTAAAAAACGAACCCGTCTTTTGGTGGTTTCAAGAGGACACCACAAAGGACACCTCCGATTTTCGTGGGCCCCGGAAAAAAACAAAAAAACAACAGTCACACCCAAAGGTTTTTGGGCAGGGTGCAGTTGCCAGGGTGTTGGCGCATGAAGCGAAAGATGCAAGCTCAAGGTTGTTGCTGTGTTTTGTACTGTTGAGAGCATTCACTGTCAAGGGCTTGCTGCTACTTGACATAGGTCATCCTTTGACCAGAGTTGTTTGAAGTTTTCGGGAAGGACGATGCCACCAGTTCGGCTCCCTGTAGCTCTTTTGTTGGCTCCTTCTTGTGTTGCCACTTGCTTCAGACTTGACTCTTCTGGCTTGGGTATAAAGAAGCCAACAGAGACGGTGGTTTCAACGGATTCACAACTTGTGGAGGGTTCGTGCAATTGATGCCTCGGTACTTCAGATACACTTTCGCCGGAGTGATTTGGGCGTGAATTTGAATAGGGGACCCTTTGGAGGACCTCATGTACAAGGATTCATGTGGACCAGCTTCTTTGGATGTGGTTCCAAGCAATGAATTTCATAGCAGGATGGCTCGCCGAGCGAAAGTCGGGCCTTGCGAGCGCGACGCCGAGGCGTATCATCGACACAGGTGGCTTCGCCGAGACCTTCGCGCCTCGCAGTGGAGATCAAGAAACCGCCAAGCAAGAAGCAGGCAAAACAGCTTTGTCTCAAAATTAGGGGACCTCCAAAAAGATGAGTGGCCTTTGGTGCCCCTTTGAAGCCCGCCAAGAGGCCCTCCCCCCCCCAAAGACAAACAACGATTCAAAGATAGGAAGGCCCATCCGGGTCAAGAACCAGCCATGTCGACCGGCGTTGCGTGCTTGCTGTTGGCTGTCGAATATGTATGTCGTGAGACTTGGAATGTGAGCAACGGACAGTTTATGCCAGGATGCCGGTTTTGGGTAGCTTTGTATCGGTTTCGAATAACATTGTTGGGTAGTCATGCGTCAGTACGAGCTTGTCTCAAAATTAGGCGACGGCCGGTGATTTCCTCTTGGTTCTACTCTAAGACCAGCCCAAACAGGGTACCGAGCCTCAAAGGAAAGGAACATGTCAAAAGTGGTTGGTGGACATGATCCCACCATTTTTTGACGTCCACGGGTCAATAATTGAAATGCACGCCTTTTTGGGTGTCTCTTAACCCTTAAAGTAGCCTGCCCCAAGGGGTATCCGCCCTTCCAAAAACCAGACGCGCGGCCCACATCTGTGCCAAAGAATCCTTTCGCCCTGCGCCGGGAGTGCCGTGCGGCGCTCGAGATGCTGAGGACCAGCTCACGGAGCCATGGCATCCCTCCAGCCACTTCGCCATGGAAGGTGCTGCGGAGGCGCCGAAGGGACCGAGTAGCTGAGCCACGTGCTCAAAACCCGAGCGATTCGGGTAGATGAACCGGGCTCCTTAAAAGAAAAACCACTTTGCAACCAGTGGAAACATGGCTTTTCCACACCAAAAAGGGAAACCACCATTTTTACAAGTTGCAAGGTTCAGGTGTATAATGTAAGGATCCCTGGATCCCTGATGAAGGTTGGTAAGGGACAATCCCAACCATAAACAGCTGCGGATATCCGCCTTCTTAGTTCTTGAAGCATGGTTCTGGGTAGACCATTTTTATGCCGGGCTTTGCTTACGACTCGGGTGGCAAGGGCCTCTCCTCGTGGTTTCCCGTGTTTTTTCTTTGTTTATTGGTTTAACAACAACATCTTTGTTTATTGGTTTAACAACAACAACAACAACAACAACAACAACAACAACAACAACAACAACAACAACAACAACAACAACAACAACAACAACAACAACAACAACAACAACAACAACAACAACAACAACAACAACAACAACAACAACAACAACAACAACAACAACAACAACAACAACAACAACAACAACAACAACAACAACAACAACAACAACAACAACAACAACAACAACAACAACAACAACAACAACAACAACAACAACAACAACAACAACAACAACAACAACAACAACAACAACAACAACAACAACAACAACAACACACAACACAACACAACCACAACCACAACCACAACCACAACCACAACCACAACCACAACCACAACCACAACCACAACCACAACCACAACCACAACCACAACCACAACCACAACCACAACCACAACCACAACCACAACCACAACCACAACAACACCACAACAACAACAACAACAACAACAACAACAACAACAACAACAACAACAACAACAACAACAACAACAACAACAACAACAACAACAACAACAACAACAACAACAACAACAACAACAACAACAACAACAACAACAACAACAACAACAGCAACAGCAACAGCAACAGCAACAGCAACAGCAACAGCAACAGCAACAGCAACAGGAACAGGAACAGGAACAGCAGCAGCAGCAGCAGCAACAACGACGACGACGACGAGGACGAGGACGAGGACGAGGACGAGGACGAGGACGAGGACGAGGACGAGGACGACGACGACGACGACAACATCAACAACCACAACCACAACCACAACCACAACAACAACAACAACAGCAGCAGCAGCAACAACAACAACAACATCCGAAACAGAGATGTCCCAGCCCCATCTCTGAAGTTCACGGGGCGCCGATCATCTGTGTCTTCGTCATGAATTTCAACCATTGAAGCAATGATCTACTTGCAAAACTGGATTGAAACATATCTAGCGTTAAGATGTCGACCTAAGTTGGAGAAAACATGTCTCATGGGCTCCACTCGAACTGAGACAGATCAGTGTGAAGGGCTGTGAGCAACTCTTCGAGAAAACATATTGGTGTTTTTTGTTTGTTTGTTGGACCCCCCAAAAAATCGGAGCAACTGTGACACTGTGGTGCTTTTGGTTTCTGTTGAACACAAAATGGAGCAACTGTGGTCCTTTTGGTTTCTGTTGAACAAAAACTGGAGCAACTGTGGTCCTTTTGGTTTCCCTCGAAAAACCAAAAGGGAAACCCATGGTGACCTGGTCTTTTCCCCTTTTTGGTTTCCCTATTGGTTTCCCTCCAAAAACCCACCAGATTGAAATTAACCCTTTGGGGGTCAATAAGTTTGGGCTTTCCCTTTTGAAGTCACGGATCTGGCTTTCCCTTTTTGTGGAGCTCCAAGCCCGTGACTCGAAAGGGAAAAGCGACCCACCGCAACAGCCGTCAGGTCACCAGCGCGGTGCGTGCCGGACTCCAGCCCTGGCAGCGCGACAAGGGCTGGTTCTTGCTGGCGGCGGCGGCCGCGAAGCGCTCGCAGGGCGCCTTGGAAGGAAATCGCCGTGGGGTCTTGCCACGTTTGGCCGATGTTGTTTTCCCGATTTGTTTTTTTATTCTCCCTCTTTGGTTTTAGAGGGAATCTATCGGAATCACTGCTCAACATATTTTTCGTAGTTTTCCAGTGGGCGAAAACGCAAATTCAAGATCATTATGTGTGCACGTGGTTTTTCTGAAAGTAGAGACTCATTTTAGTGGTTTTCCAACCAATGGTCATCCACGTAAAGGACATGTTGATCAACCCCCCAGGCGCAAATCAGTGGTAGCTCCACACATGTTTCGCAGGGATCTCCTGAAGTACAATGGGCGTGGCAGAAACGGAAGAAAAAAGGACCTGGGGCTCGTCTCTAACAACCACCGCGAAGGCGCCGGGGATTTGATCTCTGCGGTTCTTGCCAGCTGAGGCCGACCCTTTGAAGAGCTGGTGCAAGCGGGCCTTGACCTGGATGAGAATGAAGCGGTTCGCGTGATACAGGCTTCGCGGGTTTGATCGGTCGGGTCGGATTTTTTCTTCTGGTGGTGGGTTTTGAGTATCCGAAAATTTGGAGAGAAAGACAGACCCAGCGACTCCGGTGGATGGCAGGGAGCTGACTTTCGTTGATTTTCCTTTTGGGGACCTCTCCATTTGAAGCGAAAAAGGCGAGGTGGAGGGGCTTCGAGTTTGTGAGGCCGACCTGCACCGCACCGGCATGGAGGATGTGCCTTGGGTCGCAGGGGCGAACAGCCAATGGGCATGGAACGTGGCTCCTCAAACGGGGCGGGGCCGGGCCAGAAAAAAAGACGGGCACGTGTTCCGGTCTACTGCCCGTTAAGCCGAACCGGGATTTGTTCCAACCTGAAAAGAGGGTTTTAAACCGAACCTCAAAGAGTCGCCAAGCTGCAGTAGACCCACACAACCCTCTCAAAGCTGCACCCAAGAGGCCACTTTACGGAGGGGTCCCCATGTGTCCCTCCTGCTTTTCACAGCTTGGCCCGTTGTTTCTGCAGGTTTTGAATATCAGGACTCCTCTTACACGCGGAACGGGTGACTTTTCCTGTTGCTCTGATGTGCAAACTCGGCTTTGAATATCAGGACTGCCGGAAAGAACAGAAAACAAACACCCAAAAAAGACTCAGCAGCATCCACCGGGCGTCCTCGCGAGCCACAAAACCGCGCCCACCCGGCGCGAGCCCGCGAGCCAGCGAAACCCGCGGGACACCGAGCCCGAGCGAGGTGAACGTGAGGAGCCTGGAGCGGGTGCTGCTGGCCTTCGCGGCGGGGAACGCGGAGATCGGGTACTGCCAGTCCATGAGCTTCGTGGCCGCCACGCTGCTCATGTACCAGGAGGAGGAAGCGAAGCCCAGGGGAAACGCGGGGGCAGGGGGGGCGGGGAAGCGAAGCCGAGCGAAGGGGGGCGTGAGAGCCGGGCGTTTTTTTGTTGTTGTTGGGACAGAGCGGAGGGCGGGAAAGAGCCGGGGGAAATCCTTGGCTCCCCAAAGAAGCAAAGGTACCTGGGGGCCAAAGAAGGCATGAGGTTTTGCAAACAGCCAGCTGGTAGATGACTCATGCCGAGCACTTGCAGCCATGCGAACTCCTTCTGACACTTTCGTCCATTCACAGGAGCCTGCTTTCTGGACCCTCTGCAGCCTGCTGGAGGACATTCTGCCAGAGGCGGGCCAAAAAGCGATGGCAAACCTCGATTGCTCAAAGATGTGAGTACCACAAAATGCTGTCTAGCAGATTGTGCCTTCACGCTGCGATCTGATTCAATGCGAAGTGCTGAGGGCAAAGTGCGACCTCGCCTCCAAGGTCATGTCATGAAATGTGATGGTCACCTCAATGAGTTGCCTTTCCCCAGACTTCGTACGCAGCTTCGTACGCAGCTGTGATGAAACAACCAATCCCCTTCACATGTACCCAAGCTCCCAGCATGCTCTGAGAGCTATGGTAGCTGGTAGCGCCACCTTTCTTTAGCCCAAAACGGGGATGTCAGTTTGACCCCCGGCTTGAGCTGCTGTTTCCTTTCTTTGCCACCAAACGAACCAAGAAGTGCTTGGAACCTCCAGTACAATCCAGTGACCCCCTCAGAGCTCCGGGGGAATCTGCTCTAGGAAACTGACAAAGCACAGGGCAGATTGCGTCACGCAACGATTTTTGGTTGCCCCTGTTTGCGGCCGAAAGCCTAAAACCATGACGTTGATTGGTGACCCCCTGAAGGGGTCCCCATAATATATTCTAGCAAACCCAGATCCCAATGCAACAGAATACCAAACTACGAATCATGCAATCAAATCCAATATGAATTGTAATATTTGTATTATTACAATAAGTCTTGGACATGGACATTTCACCACCCCCTCCCCCCCTCCCTCGGCGTCGGCGGTCCGAAGGGGGTTTTCGGGATTTGCCAGGACTACTTCTCCGCGCGGATGTGTGGACTGCGGGCGGACCTCCGCGTCCTGGAAAGGCTGATGGCGGAGCTGCTGCCGGAGCTGTCGCAGCATCTGGAGGCGCAAGGCGCGGGCTCAGGGGATCTCACTTCGGCTTCGGACGAAAGGGTCACTTTTTGGGGGTTTCGGCCATTTTAGTGGTGAACAGAAAGTTCGGACTTGTTTGATGTTATTATTTCCATTGGGGGGGCAGGGCTTCTTGGTGGTGTTTTAAGGGAAACCCTGTCAGGGTAAACCGTTTTGGGTGTGGTAAAAGAAGGGAAACCGAAGGGGGAACCATGGCGTTTTGAGCAAGTTCCCTCATTTTGAGACTGGCATCGTGGACATAAAGGGTTTGTTGTGTGAGTTGTTGCTTCCTTTTTTTGTTGATTGTTTTTTTTGGGGGGTTGGTTCAAAGGAGCACAAGAAGCAAACTGCATACCTTGTCTTTTCGTTTTGTTTGAACAGGAGTGTTTGCTGAACTGAGCAGCGTGGACGGACATCATTGTTTCTCAAACGCATGTGAGCAGGTGCATGTTTGTGTGTGTGCGTATTGCTCAAATAAAAGGAGCAGAGCGGAAGGACACCATTGCTCAAATGATCTGTGAATAGAATCTCTCAAGCGACAAGCCAGGCTTGAGTGCAAGCCGCTTAAAGATGCGTAAAGCTTTATGGCGGGGTTGCCCCAAAATATCATGACCCTTTGTTGCAGGCTGTCCAAGCAGCATTTGATGTTTCGCAATTTCAAGTAGTCATACGGTCTGACTCGTCAAGTGTGTCCAGCAAACTCGTGATTGTGACCGTGGCTCATGTCTGCTTTGTTCAACTCGTGAGTGGAGCGGAAGGTTTGTGCAGCATTCCGGGCTGGGCGTGGGTTTGTTCCGGGGCGCATGGCTACCACGACAGGTATTGACTTGTCTCCGATTACGGTGAACTGGTTCCTTTGCTCCTTGGCTTGCATTCAAGAGACCCCCTACCCGGCAACATTCAATGATTCAAGAGACCCTTGGGGTTGGTAGGGGTGGTCGTGGACCTCTCCTGGTGAATTGAGCGAACTCATGGTAAGGAGCCTACTTGAGGAAACCATGGCCCACAGGAGCTTTCATGGAGTGGGCTTGGCAGGCGAAGCATAGGTGGGGCCCATGGCTGCATACGGCTTACGGTTTTGAGGACGGTATCATCAGCTGCTGGTGCGATTGGCAAGGAATGAGAAAGGGAATGACTCCCACAAACCATCCCCTATGGTTTCCTTTAAGCTGATCCCCAGGTTCATTGCCTTCGCTGTCTTCCAAGAGCTGAGGTCTGTTTCTCAACACTCTTCCTGCTGAATGGTCCCATCGGGTCCTGGAGTCGGTGCGGCGCTTGGCAAATCTTGAGGAGTTGGAGCAAAAGCCAAGGGAGCCCGCGGGCCAGGCACTAAGGGAGCAATGTCCCGGCCAGGATTTTTTCCCACGCCCCTGCCATCAGTCACGACCCCCACTTGCATGCCTTGCATGCCGCGCATGCCCCGCGGGCTTGCGTCTTGCGCGCGCAAGAGTTTGCTGGCGCGGGCCAGCGTTCCTTTTGTTCCTTTTGCCCCTTTTGTTCCTGCCGTTCCTTCCGTGCCCTCTTCGTTGACTTTGTTTCCTGCCATGCCTAAGCCCAACAGTGGAAGCTGGACACCGACTTGGGGCCCCCAGGCCCGGCCCTTTTTGTATCAAGATCAGAATGTGCCCCAAACTGGGCGGGTGTTCCTCTTGGGTTGCCTTCACCACAACCCGAAAAGGGCACCAACTCCAAAAGGCACAAATCAATGGTTTGGTTCATGCAAGCACCCTGAGTCGGTGCAAGTCAGTTGAACCCTAGGGTGTTAGCGAGCTTCGGACTGGCGCTGACCCGTGTTTTTTTCTTCACGTCACACGATATCTGACAGTCATCTCTGCGCGTGCTCTTGAGCGCGTGGGCTTGTCCTGTGGCAGACATGCGCGCAACGCTGAGTGTGTACTCTTGAACGGCTCTTGAGCGGGTGTGCTTTGTCCCTTGTGTGCAGCGCAGAGCACGTGCTCTTGAGCGGGCGTGCTTATTATTTGGCAGGTGTGCGCGTGCTCACCAGAGTAGTTTCAGCAAAAAGCCCAAAAGCAGGAACACACATTGGTCAAGACCACCCCCCAAATGGGTGGGTGTTTTCTTTGGTTTCCCTTCAAAGCTACAACAATAAGCACCAACTCAAAACGAGGAGCCACACTTATCTTGTTTCGTAGGAAGGGGACACCTTCTCCTAGAAAATTGCAAGCACATCTGTGTCTTTTTGTGTGTACCACCTTTGGAGTGGTTTTGAAGGGAAAACAGGAAGCCAACGCAGCATTTGAGAGACTTTTGCCAGGGGGTGGCATCCCCACAGAAAGAAAACAAACAACGGAGCTATTTTGTTCGCCTAGCACCACCTAAGAAATTTTGGAATGATGTGCTTCCCTTCTAAATACCAACCAACGTTGTGGGTTTCCCCTGGTTTCGTCGCGCGAAATGGATTTCAAAACTATGCACAGTATCGCTTTTTGGGAGTGGTTTTGAGGGGAGAACAACCTTGCAGGGCTGACCATTTGTTCACTGTTCTTGGCATGCCTTTTTTGTTCCTTAGTTGTTTGGTTCTCTTCATGTTTTGATTTTTACTGGGAGGGGGGCTGCCAAAAAAGCGGCTTTAAAAACAAAAAATCGGGGGGGGGGGGGCTGCAAAAAAACAAGCTTTTTGCTACCATACCAAGAGCTCTGGAGCTGATTCTTTTTTGCGCTGCCGGCCGTTCGGCGGATTTTTCAGGTCCTCTACGAGGGCTCCGTCACACTCTTCCGCATGGCGCTGAGCATCCTGAGGCTGCGCCAGGACGAGCTGAAGCCGCTGGGCAATCCGAAGGTCCGAAGGGCTGGGCTCGTGGGAGCTGGGCTCATGAGCTTACCATGGTCAAAGCCACCTAAGTGGTCTTTCGTCTTTGCGACTCGCTCAGTGCAACGAAGTGCGCGCGTTTTCTTAGGGGGTCACCCTAAGTGGTGGGTTTTTCAGGGAAACAAGCCCCATTCAATGGACTTTGAGAACCCCCAGAAACCGTCAAAAGATGACCCTTGCTGGGTGGCTCTAAAGTGGCATTGGCTTCGGTTTCCCCGATGGTTTGCCTTGAAAAAAACCAGATAAAAAGGATGCAAACACACCCAGGAGTTACCCTCTTGAGAGAAAAGGGGGAGCTGAGAGGAAGCTGAGGCGATTTGTGGGAAGCGGCAAGCGTATTTGGGGATTTCTCCCTGCGTACTTTTCGGGGTTCTGCACTTAGAGTCTCATTTTCTACACATAATTCTTTGCGCATACTTTCTGTGCTTGGGTCTATTTGATGTGGGAAGCAACAAGTCATCATTTCTGTTGAATAGGCATTTCCTAGAAATCTGGAGTAAGCAGGCTTTTCACATGCCTGTATTTGGGGTATGTCAAACGGGAACCTGCTATAGCCGAAAAGAACATGAGATGCCAATCCGCTAAAGGGAATGAGGGAGCCACCCCATAAACCATCCCTTCCGGTAAACGCAAATCTTCCGGTTTCGTTCGAAACCCCAAGCTGATTCTGCCTACTGTTCGGACAGTTTATTCCCCATGTGAAACGTGATATTCGCCTCAACATTGATTCCTTGCCATGGGTTAACATATATTATATAATTATATATATATATATATGTACAAACAAACACGCACCCCACACACGCGCCACTTGCATCGGGTCTTACAGAAAGCAAAACCGCCCCTTGAGTTCGGCCCTTGTAAAGCAGCTACACAATCACCATTTCTTTTTTGTCTTTGAATATATGAAGCAAGCCATGTTTGTGGTGGGTTGTTAGCAACAACTCATCTCTTTTTGAACATGATCAACAATGCGGTCATTTTGTTTGAATCTATAAAAAGTATTAACACAAAACACCATGTTTTGTTTCTTTTAAAACATAGAACAAATGCCACCCCAGTGCGGTCGAAACCAATGTGCGGTCCGAGAACCTGCGCTTCCATCCCGGACGCCTTCATCTTCCTGCGCTGCCCCTGCAGCCCGGAAAAGGGCTGCCAGAAGTTGGACACCACGCAGCTCTGGGCGCGGGGCCCCGGTGGCGTCGGCGCTCGCTTGCTCGCTCGCTCGTTTTTTTTTTTTTTCTTTTGGTGGGGGGTTGCTGGATTCTTTCTTTCTTTTTTTGGTGGGGTTGCTGGAAAAGAAACCGTTGGGTTCGGCCCCCCTTGGCGTTTTTGTGCTGTTTTTTTCTTTAATGGGGTTTTAGGCCCCTCTTGGCTTTTTGTATTGGTTACAGGAAAGCCATAGGTCGGTTTAGGCCTCCCTTGTCATGTTGGTCTAGGCCGATGTGGCTCGTGCTTTTGAGGAGGGTTTAAAAACAGAAGTTTGTTGTTTTCAAGTAGTTTGGCTGGTTAAGAAAGGTTTTCGCCTACACGTCTTGTATAGTTTGGCAAGGAAGGCCAAAAGGACAAACTCCCTTTTGTGGTGTCCCCTCTTTTGACACAAATTCATATGAAGGTTTTTGTTTTGAATTGAAGCCTTGGAACACCTAGATGGCAAAAGAGGCATCCCCATGGTGTACGTTTGATGCCCACAGGGTTTACACGATTCACGCGCCCTAGGGGAGTTTCATCAGCTCGCAACCTGATCGATGGACACAGCTTGGACAGATGTGTGCTTCAACACCGGGGAGCGCCACTGGCGTGATTGCTTCTGAGAGCCGTTTACGCAGGGCAACTTTTGGAAGACGCGCGCTTTCCTTTTGGGTAAGCCCTGAAATGGTCCACATCCGAAACCACCCACATCCGAAAAGATGTAAACACCTAAGTCCTTCCAGTGGGGTGAAACATGTTGGATGTAGTCATCCTTTGCCTGGTGTGCCACCACTACTCGGCCTGGATCGAGCCGAGGAGCTGATGTTCGACGAGTGGCTGAACGGGCTCTCCGGGCGCCTGCGGGGCCTACGGGAGGAACAGCTCCGAAGGGTCCAGGCGCTTGAAGCAACGAAGCGGGCTGCGGAAGGATTTGTTTTTCCTTTTTTATGTATATATATATATATTTGGGGGGAAGGGGAGCCTCTTCTTGGCTGGCTTTAAAGGGAAGCCGACAGGAAGCCGAAAGGAGTTGTTCTGGGGTCCCATTTTTGGAGCACCCGCGAGGAGACCTGGATCAGTTCAAGGGATTCAAGGGACCCTCCCATCGTTTTCAATCGGACCGGGTCCCCAAGGTCAGGTTTTATGCGAAAAAGGGTGGGAGGGCAGCAAACCTGAAGCTTGACCCCATGGCAGGTGCCAGAATTCGAGAGGGGCGAGGGGGGTGGACCTTAGGTTCTAAGGTTCTAGGCTTCGCGCCTTCTTTTTGGTTTTCTCGTCGGGTTTGGAGACCTGACGAAAAGGGTGGAGGACATACGCAGCTCGGTGGGTCACCGGGAAGCTGTTCTGCTGGTTACAGTGAACAAAAGGAACTTGGACCCATTGCTGGTCGAGATTTGCTCATTCCTGCGAGACGAAGGAGAACTGAGCCAGCATCCAAACCCAGACAAAGGGTAGGTTACTTGGATCTATCATTGCTGAGAACTGAGCCAGAATCTACACCCCAAGGGTAAGAGACAGCCCCTTTGGATTCTTCAGCATGGCATTTTGAGCAGACTCCTTTAGTTCCAGATTTTACCCTCCTTCCACATTGCCATGGCACCTCACAGATCTTGGGTCCCAGCAAGAGGAATGATCTTCCAGATTCCCACCAATGCCTTCTGTTAGGGCGAGGAAGGGCAATGGTACCGCGACTTGGCTTCTCCAGCAATCGAATCCCGTGGTCTCTTTGCTTCCGCTTTGTCTTCCAGGCGGAAGACGGAGAGACTTCGAAGCGGAAGGCGTTCAAGGTTCCATCGCAGCTCGGATTTATTTTGTCCGGTCCGAACTTTGCAATACATGCCATCGTCCAACACATACAGTTTTACTTGGCAGTGAAACAACTGTAGTTAAATACGCAAAATACTTGGTGCTGGCGGGAGAGGTCACGGACCTGAACGAAATTGGACTCGAAAAGATCTTCATGCGATCGCAACTGAGACATGATGCTCCTAGGGAGTTTTGACGCCACCAATGAAATGCTCTCAAATTTGGGAACCCCAAACAACGTGCTCGGTGTTCGTTTTCGTTGCCATTTTAAAGGCACGGGTACCTTGGAAACATGACGCCCCCATATGACACTTGTTTGTGTCACAGCACCTGACACCTCTTGCCCTTTGGATTCCGCGCGTCTGTTGGTACCAATAGTGTGTGGTTCATTTCCCACAAATAACAGGGGACTCAAAACCTTTCCCATGTCCTTTGTCGAGACAAAGAAAGCCGCATCCTCACCCAGATTCATTTGAGTGAGGTTTAGCTGGATGGACTTTGAGATGCCGAGCATGTGTCTTGCCTGCAAGCGAGCATGGTGTATCCCTCTTCCCAACGATCATGCTCCGGTGTGTAGTGTACGTTTTGGGGGCTTCCCCAAAAGGCACGCATTTGTCTTGCAAATCAGATCGTCTGCTTCCATGATTGTTGAAGCGGGGACTGAATGCAGTGTAGTGCTGCGCCTCTTGCTTTCATTTTCGAAGGAGGCTCGAAAGTCGCAACTGTCCTGCATTCCGCCTGAAGAATCTGTCAAGAAGACAGAACAAGGCCTCAACAACCTTGACCACACAGACGTTGCCAAAGCCAACAGACTGTTTATGGGGTTGGTAGGCGCGGTACGGATCCCTCGGGAAATTTAGACAAGTGCAAGGGCTCCTAGGAAGCAATGACCATAACATTGTTGAAACAGCGCTGGGGATTTAGACCCGTTTTTCCAACTCAGAACAACACACTTTGCTCGAAAATCAGCATTCCTCGTTTTGGTGGTTCGGACCGGATTGGTGGTGGATAGTTTCCCATTTACCCTCTACAAGGACCAGGGCTTCAAATCCAAATTCAAACCACCAATCCAATCCACCAATCCAAGCCTCCAATCCAAACCACACATTTAGGGCTTACCTGACCACAGTTTTGATTTTTGTTCCAACCGTTTTTCGGGTCGATTCGCCACGGGTTAGCTGCAGGCTTTGGCCAGCGCGAAACCGCTTTTGACCGCACAGAATTTTGGGCCACAATGGGTATCAACTTAACTTGCCTCTGGGTTTTAATCAAGACTCCAAAATGGGTATCAACTCAAACAAGGCCAACACACACGTTTTGGTCTCCGAGACCGTCTGTGAACTTCTCCTCCTGGCTGAGCCTCAGCCCCAAGTCCTCCTCCATGGCTGCCTGGCTGCATGATCTGACCAAACCAGGCGCCAGGCGCCAAGTGGGTGTGGCTCAAAATTACACAGGAGGGGCAAAGCGCAGGTTTTGGTCCATGTTTCCACTTACCCGGGTTCCATCCGTGGGGTTTCATCCCACGCCAACTGGTGCGAAGCGGATTTGTTTTACGGTAGGAAATAGCATGGTTGAAGGCAGGTGAGGTCCGGGTCAAAAGATTCGTCCATTTGGCATGGAGAGGGGGGATTCACGAATTTTCTGCTGCAATCGGAGCACTCTCATGTCCCCATGTCCGGGCACTATGTGCGTAACATTGCGTCAACTGCGAGATGCGCATGAGCAGGAATGAACGGTGTGGCACAGCTATTTTTCGGGCACGAGGCTGCGTGCCAGCGACTGAATTTCGGGCTGTCGACTGTGCCCGCACCCTGCAAAGCAGGGGACAGCGGGCTATCGGGCCATGGGCTGGGAAAGTGAGTCGACGCAGCAGCAGACGAGCCGCTTTGCGCAGTTGCCGCCAGCCTCCCACGAGTACTCGGGCTCCGCTGCCAGCAACAGCCACCCTGTCTATGGCACGGTGTCCAATGGAACCCAAATGGCGCCTTAGATCAAGTGGATTTGTCTCGAACAATGGGACACACCAACATGGGTGTTTTTTCGTTTGCCTTGGCAACCACCCAAGAAAGACACCCAAGTAGCTTTGCCTTTATTTTGCATGGACGTTGAGTGGCTTGCATCATGCCATGAGCCATAGCCTTGATTTGCATCAAAAGTTTCAGCCGGCGTTTAGGCGCTCCTGTTGTAATTGGTCATGCTGCAGTTGTAGTGCATAGAAAGTCGTCGCTCCTTGGGTGAAAGAGCCCAACACGATAGATTGATCATAGCCCACTCTCAACACCAGGGATGGTGAACCAAAGGCTTCTTCCCGAAGTTCCAAGACCGACCCCTTGCTTCCCTTGGCAATGCACAAACATGTCCTAAATGGATCCTTTCAGAGAGCTATCCCCAACCGCGGGGGTTAAATCCAACTCTGGCTTGACTCTCAACCAGCCAACCTCGAACTGATTTCAAAGGAAGACTCAGCAAAACATGTCGCCCAACAGCAACACATGCAGTCCACGGATTTGTCGAGTTCGTGGACCACTGCCTCAGTGCGACATTCTTTAAACCAGCCTTCCGCACATTTGTCCACATAACCCGGCGCTTGTTTGTTTTTCGGTTCTTTGAAGGGTATTTGCCTTTGACTCTGGATTGGGCGAAAGCAAGCCTTTCCCTCCAATCATGGAATCTGACAGGGTTTTGGAAGAGGAAAGCTTGCACGTCCATGGCTTAATACTAGTACATTCTCCTTGACTCTGGCTTGGTCAAACTGGGCGTGCATTTTTTAGGGGACCCCCGAAAACGTGTTTTTCCCTTTTGATTTCCATTTAGAACCACCAAACAAGGGGTACAAACTCAAAAAAGTGACACACACACACACACAGCCAAGCTCGGAGTTCAAATATGGCTATGAATTTTATGGGGACCCCCCCTGAAAACTGATTGGCGGACATAAATCCGCGCTGAATTCTGATGTCCACCAAAGGGTCCCTAAGAAAAACACTTCATATGGCTGTGGGTCAACACCAATGGTACCATTTTGGGGTAGGTGCATCACCCATTTTAGTCTTTTTTTAGTGGGGATTGGGATGTTCACTGGGAGTACGGGGTTTTGACCCATAGCCATGTCATAGCCATACCAGGACCTGATTTTCAGCGGCATCAGCTTTAGCAGCCTGGCCAACACGGCGAAGAAGGCCCCGGAGCCTCGTAACCTAGGGCCCGGCGGCATCTACCACGAGAAGCAGGCGCCTTGGCGAGTCTGAGTCCCCGTGTCGGATTGTTTTTCGTTGGGTGTGGGGCAAATCTTTGTCACCAGGAATCGGGGGAATCCGCGGGGTTTTTGGTCCTTGGTTCCGTTTACTGATCCAGCAACCTACTTGGGGTACCTGTGGGTAGCACGGGACCGAACAGGATGGCGCAGAAGGAGGGCTCATGTGGCTACATTGACCCGCCCTCCGAAATCCCACCAAGCATCGTCCTTCTTGGGTTAGTTTGGCTAGACATCGACGGGTTCCAGGGTGAAAACCCATCGAGTGGTCCAAAAGGCCATGTAGGGTTCCAGGTCTTTCAAGTAGCTTTCGGGCACCGATTCTGGCCCCTTCGATTTCGGCGGTCTCAAAGTTTGGAGGGTTAGCTGAGGGGTCCCCAGCTGAAGGATTCGGCCTCGAGGAATCGGGACTGGTTAAGGTTGGGAAGCTCTGCGCCATGCACAGCATCAACAATCTGCTCCAAGAGAACCGGATCACGGAGGAAGCTGATGGGGGGGGGGGGCAAGTTGGAGTCTGCTTGGGGGGTGTCACATTGGTTTATATGGGTGCGGTGTTGGTTGAAGTGGGAACCAGATTCGACGCAACACCATTTTGGGGTACCCCTGATTTAAAACATACACATACCCATATCTTCTAATGGCCTCCAGTCGCCAATAGGCTGTGGCTCACGTGGCTCATGTTCATAGGGGTTAGCCAAGATGCCTTTGAGCCCTATGGAGTCGAACCAAAAGGTGGCCGGCAACCATGGGGTCAAGCTTGCGGGTTCTCAGAGGAGTTTGGTATGGAACATGGAGCTGGAAGATCCTGAAGCTCCGCCGCAATGGTGCGGTCCGGTTTGCTCAAAGTGTTTGTTCAAGGTTTCTGGTGCGCAGGCTGAGGAGCAAAGGGTCATTCCAACTCATTCGGAGCTGCCGATTTTACTCAAAGCACGCCAAGGTGTTGTGTTCAGGTTAGTTTGGTTGGAGAAGATGGGTTCCACTGGTTTAGATGGGTTGGATGCCATCCATTTAGCAGGGAACCCCCATCCATTTGTCTAACCAAAAGGCCATGGACTCACCAATGTTCCACCACCTAAAAGGATTCGTTTTTGCTTTGGGTTTCCCTTAAACAACCCCAACCAAAAAGAGGCCACCGCTCTGCTTCTGCGCCATCCTCGCGCCGATGCCAGCGCTGACGCGCCAGGAGCACCTGAGGAAGACCGCCAAGCAGCTGGACAAGGCGCAGCAGCGCCTCACCGGCGGCCGCAGTGGGGACTACCTCAACTTCCGGGAGGTGGGAAGAGTCGAGATGCGCTTTTGGGCGTGCGCTTGAGGCGAACGGGTAGCCTTGTTAGGGGTGGTTTTAAAGGGAAGCTGCTGAAACCAAAGAGAAACCACTGATTCTACATGGGGACACTCAAAACCAACACTCATAGGACAAGAGAAAAGTATTATCGGCTGTGCCCTGCCTTCCCCAATGGTTTGAAGCATCAACTTCTCGTGGTCCAAAGTAACATGCACCACAGGATATGTAGTTCCTGGCTTGAAAATGCATCATACACAGCTAAAGGACAAAGTTCGTGGTTTTTGGCGCTTCAAACCATGGCTTCCAGGGGTCTTGCTTGCTTTGTGAGGGTTGAGGTCATCGGTGCAAGGGAGTGGTTGATTCTGCGCGGTTTGAGGAGAACTGCGGCTCAAACCAATCTCCGACAACTCCGATGCAAAACACCGACGCAAATCCGGATTTTTCTTGGAGACTCCACGGAAAATCCCATGGAACATCCGGGAAAATCAGCATCCGGAAAAGCTGGAGACTCCGGACAAATCCGGGAAAAATCCGGGAAACATGCGGGAAATCCGGCAAACGGAGCGCCTGAAGATGCAAAAGCTTGGGCTTTGCCAGGACGGCTTCTACAATGCCCTGGTGGTGCAGGCGATTCTGAGTGGCCTCGGCTTCCAGGCGGGTGGTCTACGACAAAGAGGAGCACATCAGGTTGGGGTTGCTCAGAGTCCCCTAGCGGGGCTAGTTTCCTTGTGGTTCACTTCAAAATGCAAACCAAAAGGGGGTACACACTATTTTTGAGAAGTACTCGAGTAGGTTATTGACAAAAAGCATGTTTAAGCCAACGAGGAAAGTAACTATGAGTGCTCAGTTGCCAATCCGGAGCTGGAGCAGTTCTTCTTCTTTTTGGGAGGTGGCACGGTACTTGCCTTGCACTGATTGGCAACGGCGGGCTGCGGCAATAGATGCTTCCGCTTAAAGCGGGGACCAGATTCGCGTGCATGCAACCACCACGCGAGGTCCTTTTCGAAGGGGTCCTTGTCAAGCATGGCACCCACACATTGACCATTTCTTCTTCTTTTTTCTTCTTCTTTTTTCTTCTTCTCTTTTTTCCTTCTTCTAAACAACAAACACATGAGAAACTCTTGATCCACAGAAACTTCTTCGTGCCAAGCCGCGCGCTGCGGTGCGAAAAAAGACCCCTCGGTAGGTCTCCGCCGTGCGCGGCATGGGATCCTTGGACGGCGAGACCGCCGTCCTGGCGAACCGGGCCCGGCACTGGTTCGCGGTGCGCAGGCGCCGCATTTCGTTTTTTTTTGGCCGGGGGCCGTCTAGGAGTCTGCATCACGGTTCTGGGCATGTTTTCTCATTTTTTTTTGCTTCTTGGATTTGGTTCAACGACAAGGATTGAACTGTCTATCCTTTGGGGCCGGGGTAGCCAAGGCTTCAAAGACTACTAGCTTCTTGAGGTCCAGTTGAAGGTTCACAATCTGTCAGCTCAAGCCGCTCTGTTCCAAGCTCCTGGCAGGTGTTTGGCCTTCTCTGTGGAGTTACTTCGATTTCGGTGGTCCGAAGAAAATGGGAGTGCGTCTTTCTGGGTCGCCGGGGTGCACAATGGTATGGGTCAAAATGAAACCTGGAGTTGGGTAATCCGCAGGTGTAGTCTTTCCATTTACCGATCGGGCAACCCATTTTGGGGTTACCAACTAAGCACTTCTGACAACTACAGCCATATGGGTGTTTCTCAAAATTGGGGACATATGCCGCCTCCTGATAGGTGTTCTTTCCTTTTGCTTTCCCTTAACCTATTCAAAAAGGGGGGTCCCTTAATTTGTTGAAACCTCCGAATCTGCCTCGGCGGCTCTCGCTC